TGGGATCTGCATATAATCTTCCTCTCAGAGTTAGAGGGAAAGAGGGACCCAGACCCTGGATGTGGCAGAGACGATTTTGAAAAATGGTGCCCAAGCCTCATTGTTTCCTGGCAGAATATCTTACATCTGAGATTGAGCAGCTGACCCTGGGGCCCTGGGTACATATAGAATGAGGTGGAGGTGGACATATTCCCTAAGACCCACTTCCAAAAATGCCGAGACAATCCAAATATTCACGATAGGAGACTGTTAATATACATTATGATATATTCATGGGTTGAAACGCCATCCAGCTGTTAAAAAGCATCATGTTTGAGAAGACTGCTTAGTGGCATGGAGCAGTTTGTGTCATGTAATATTAAGTGGAAAAAGTAGAATGTAAAATGGTGTATACAATTTGATACTAACTCTTTTAAAGAAAAAGACAAGAACCGAAACCACCATTTTTTGTGACTTTTATTTTCACCTTTATCTTATCCAGTTTTTTCTATAATGGAAATGTAGTAGTTTCATAAGCAGAAAAATACTTAGGGCCCCTGATCCTTCTAACAGCAAACACTCTTAGGCATCGTGGTAGAGAGGAGCTAGCAGTTTAGCAAATCAATGTCCTTTTCTTCCAGGGGACGTGGGTGACCCCACTGTGCAGCCTCACTCGAAGTTTGGTGTGGTTGTGTGACTGTTGCAGCAAATGAGAGGCGAGTGGAGATGATGTGGGCGCCTTCCAGACCTGGCCCCAAACGCACTCCTGTGCCTGACCACAGAGGCTCCTCCCTTCCATGGTCTGGCGCAGATGGACACAGGGAACACAGATCCGTCTTTAGGGGTCTGAGCCTGGTCCATTAATCACGGGCTGACCCTGTAATTATGGTCCAAACTGGGACACTTGAGACTAAGAGGGGGCACTGCTCACCAGGAAACTCATTTGGGACTGTGTGTGAGCAAGAAATCGACTTCTATTGTGTCAGTCACTGAAATGCTACAGATTATCAGGTAGAACAGTTAGGGTTATCTTAACTAACACATGGACCAACTTACTGAAGCCTACCTGTTTCTTAATTGTAATTTTTTTAAATAAAATTATTTTAATAATTATACAGTTTAAAATATGGAATAAATTACAAAATAGAAAGAAGAAAAACGTCAGCCTTAATCTCACCACCAACTGACCACTGTTAGCAGATATTTTTCCATGTAGATTTTTTTCTTTGTATATTTCTATATAGGTGTGATCACAGTGTACTTAGTTTTTAATCCTATAATTTAAATTATTCAACATAAACATTTCCCTCATTTTATTAAAAATCTATTATTGAATATCGTTTTAGAATCTCATTCATATTTAATAAATAGCCATTTCAGTTATCTAAATAACACAAAAAAAATTATTAAAAAATTAGGAAAACAGATAAGTAGGAGGAAAAAAGCCTAAAAGGAAAATATGTGTAAAAGAAAAAGTTTGGTTGTAATATATACATCTCAGTAATTGCTCTTGACTTAAACATACCTGGTGAACATTCTTCCAAGTGGCAAAATGTAATTTTAACTCAAAACATTAAGGTTTCCATAGTGTTCAATGGTGTGAAAATTTTAAAAAGCTAATCCCCAAATTAGTGCTGAACATTGGCATTGTTTCCGTGATTTGACTATTGTAACAAATCTATAAGGAATAACCTTGTCCACTTTTCTCAGTGTGGTTGATGACTAGGTCAAAGACTCCTTTTTTTCCTTTAAGGACATTTGTGTACAAGGTCCTTACAAGGACAAGGTGTACACACCTGTACAAGGTGTGAAAATGCCATTTTCTCAACGTCCATACTGAATCTAAGCATCATTATTTTTGTAAATTCTTCCCAATTAGATAAGAAAAAATGATGAATATTTAGATTTGCATTGATTAATTAGTGAGCGTTTACTTTTTTCCAAGTGTTTATTTGTTTTTTTATAACTTGCCTATTAATATTCTTAGCCTAGATTGTAGAAGGATTGATAAAGTAAATGTTAAGAGCTTCAGAATCCATAATGTGCATGTACCATATTTTACCATTTTGGATATTAATACTGATTCCAATTTCAGGTCTATTATTAAATAACGGTGTGATGAACATCTTTATGAATCACACACACACACACATATACACTTTAGACTTTATTTAGGAATAAGTCCTAGAAATAAAAATCACTAGATCAAGAGAGAGAAATAGGTATAAACTGAGTTAGAAATCATTTTAAGGAAACAGGTCCCATCAAGAGCAGCCCCGTCTCCTGATGCTACAGGCATTATAAGGTAACAGTTTTTCTTCCTAATGTGTGTCATACTATGTCAAGTGCTCCTATCAGGTGTGAGGGGAACTGACCCACCAGGCACTGTCCCTCGAGGCCACACACCTGGGCCCCTGGTGGCAGATGTCTTTGTCCACTCTCTCGCTGGCTCTGGCTTACACCCCGGGGCTCCGTGGAGCTCCTCATGGCTGACTCTCTGGGTTCTCTATTTCTTTAGTGTGACAGCTTCCCCTGAGAGTGTCCTTTTTTCTGCTGTGACCAGAAGTTGTCCCCTGGCTCATGCACCTTCTTGCTCATCTCCACTTGTGCATTCAGCTCTTCTCTCACCTGTGCTTCTGCCGGTGCTGTGAGCCCTGGGGAAGACTTGGCAGATGGACTTAGGGACAGTCTTGGCTGAAAAATAAGCTTTTATTTGCTTTTCATCTTATTTTGCAAGGCGCTGGATTTTGCTTTTCATATCTGTGTGATTTATTTGTTACTCTTTTCAATGAATTTGCTTCTCTTTTTGACGTTTTTCCCAAATGAGTCGATGTTTGTCCAGCCATCATGAATTTGTTGAGTTCTGTCATATTCACTTCACTGGTGGTGCTGTATGATGGAGACAGGGTCCCCAAATAAGGTTGTCTGGGTCATAATTGTAGATGCAATTATGATTATTTATCACACAATTATGATTAATTGTCGATAATCAATAACTGATCTATAGATAAGAAAGATAGAGTGATATTTACTGAGCCAATGCTGAGGACCAGCCCTGAAATGCTGTCTCCACCAGGGAAGAAGGCACTCCTGAGAAGAGAGATTTCCAGTAGGGACATACACCATTTCAAACAAAGAACACACACCACGCACGACAGGAATACATTTTTTTCCAAGTCACAAGGATGTGTTTTGCTGCGTTTTAGCACATACAGAGCACGTCAACTGAACCTTGGTTCTCTGGGAAGAAAAGCTTATCTTCGGAGAAGTACTGGTATTGGCATCAGAGAAAGGGAGACATTCATCCCTCTCTTTAAAGAGAGCATTCTTTGCTTTGGGAAAATGTTTGAAGCAGATGTAAAATGCATGTTTGGTGGGTCATAAGTGAAGCTGCTCTGGGAAAAACAAGTTTTAGGCTGAATCAGGCTTAAGTCAGAATGGCTTCCCCATACATCTCAAGATGTGATAACTTCTTGTTATTCTTATTATTTTCATCACAATGAAGGATCTTTCACTGGAAATGTGGCATTTTGTGGGTTTGTGGACTGAGGTTCATGCCTTCTACATGTAAATAAATAAAGATAAGGCTGTCCCAGTTGCATCCTCCCTCCGTCCCTCAGGTCCAAACATGGACTCCACTGAGCATAGATAGAAACCTCAGGGCCTGTGAGTCTCCAAGTCTCTTCCATTTAACACTACCCTTCTGGAATAAAGAAGATCACCCATGTGAAATTTAAATGTGCAATACAGATAAAATACAGAAAATTTAATTATTTTCAAGACAAGATTTCCTGTGGATTCCAAATGCAGATCCATCTGCCAAACTGACCTGCCTGGTGGAAAGGGGGGAACCAGGGAATTTAGAGGAAATTTCCCCTCACTGTAAGTGTCCCGATGTCAAAGACAGAGCCTGTTATGTGCCAGGAACAAAGAGATAGGTCAACAATTGATCTATTGATGGATGGCAAAGTGGTACTTTCCAGCCCAGCAGCTCTGAAGCCCTCAGGCTCACAAAGTTGTCATAACCCAGGTTGCCAGCAGGGGAGTCAGGTCAGGATGAAAGGGGCTGAGGCTGCTGAGTGACTCCACAGGCCATGGTGGCTGAGGCCCTGGGTGATGCAGGTGGATGGAAGGCCTGAACTGACCTTGCCCAAAGGAAGTAGATACTGGCTCCTCTGATAGGTATCAGGTGGGCTGACAGCTCAGGTATGCCGGGGACAAGCAATAGAGGAGAATTCACATGGGGCTTTGGGAACTCTGTCAGTGAGAAGAGAGAGAGTCTGGCTCAAAACAAGGTGGGCTGGAAGGGAAAGGAGATGGTGGCCAGGGCTGTCGGATAGAAAACGAGGGTTGGTGTGGAATGGTCAGCCAGGGAGGAATTTGACTGAACTCAGTGCTGGGCCCAGAATAGAGCAGGAAATGGGACCTCACTGAGGCTGAGGGCCGTCGAAGGAGCATGTGAGTTTCCTAAGCTGCAGACGATCCTGGCTTTGGGAGAAGGCTGCACCCACTGGAGAGAGAGGCCCTGGAAACAGGAGACTCAGTGCCCACAGCATGGCCCTCCGGCCTCCTGGGTCTGTGGAGTTACTCCCCTTCCACTGACCTGCTCCTCTGTCTGCCAAATTGTTGGGGGGTTGAGGATGGTGGTTGGCCTAGAGAAGGTAAGAATTTTCTAATGCCCAGGGAGGATCATTTTTGGAGGAGAAGACTGTCCTTCTATAATGGGCAGCCTTTAGCCTCAGCCCTTGCATAGGGCTCAGCACCACAGAGGAGTGACTGAGAAACTAGACAGCATGGGGTTTATGGGGGAAGGAGGGCTGGAGGAGGAAGCAGGAAGTACAGCCCAGAATTGACAGCAGAGGGCAGCCTGGAGCAGTGTTGTTGCATATTGAAAGTGGTTCCATGAATCAGTAGACTTCAGTCATATTCGCACTGGAGATCCATTTATTATGACCCTGCTATCCCACCGCCCACCCCCATGGGATTCCTGCCTCTTCCCCAGAAAATATGGTCAACACAGAAGAAGGGCAGCCTCAGGCCTGCTGTTAGAGGCGCTTCATTGTTCTCTTTATCCAGGGCAGGAAGTGTGAGACCTTCATGAAGACTCCTGGAGGGGTCCCATTGTTTTGTCCATAGGAGAAAATACCCTGGACCACCTTATTACAGACGAGGGGGCCACCGGAGTCCCCCTGTGAGCAGAGAGAAGAACTGAGCTGGCCTCCTCGTGGTCCTGCCCTCCCCACTATCCCGGGGATCCAAAGTCTCTATTAGGAGGCTAGGTGGGAGATCAGGGTCAGGGCAGGCCTTGTCACCTCCCTCCTCCCAGGGCTCCAGCCTGGCTGTGACTGTTTTTTGAAGCTCCACCCAGGCCAAGGCTTTCTCTCCACACCTCGGGGAATTTTAGTGAGAACTCTGCTGTGGGCTGACTGATCTTTCCTCACCCTGCACCCCTGATCCGCTCAGGGGAAAAGCTAAAGACTGGATTCGTGGACCCAGGGTGCCCAAGCTCTCAGGCTGAGGCATGAAGATATTGCCACTCTCACGCCCCAGAGCTCCCTAAGGTCCTCTCTCCCGAGGTCTGTCTAGGTAGATGGTGGAAACCTTACCTTGAAGCTGCTCTTCTTCTTCTTCGGGTCACCTACACAGATCTGGGAGGCCCCTCTGTAATAGCGGGGGAAGCAGGACTCACACTCGCGATCCTGCTGCAGGGTCAGCTCCACCTCCTGCAGAGTGGTTGCTAAAGTATTCATTGAGACTCTCCCCCAGCCGGCCACACTGCACACTTGTCCAGGCCTCACCTGGGCCTTGCCCCCAGGCAGGCTGAGGGGCCTCACAGCTGTAGTCTGCTTGGCCTTTCTCTCCAGCTGATGAGAAGAGGCAAGAAAGTCCGGCTCAGCCAATGGCCTCCTGGGCCTGGACACCGCGATGGGGCTGCACTGTCTTCCCCCTCCCCTGTGCCACTTGGGACTAGTCAGGTGGCCAGGATGAGAGGAGGGAAGGGACAGGTCGCAGTGGGAAGGGAAACAATCTGGACCCAGGAGAGCAAGAGCAGTAGGGAGTTTTCCTTACCTTTAGTAACATGATGTCATTGGAGAAGTTCTTATAGTCTGGGTGGCAGATGGCTCTTCTCACGGGGATGACCTGCTGGGTCCTCTCCTGCTCCTGGATGTTGTGGGCCCCCAGGGTCACGTTGATTGAGCTGCATAGAAAGCAGAGTAGGAGTGTGGGGGGCGTGGAGTCACAGGAGATCCAGCCCAGGAGCCATGAAGAGCAACTGATAGCTAGGGCAGGGCAGGGCTGCAGCTAGGGGAAATTGAGGCAACACGAGGGCTGGGCGCTGAGTGTCTCTGTGCCCTCTGCTTCTCAATGACACTGAGGGTAGAACTCCTAGAAGCTTTCTCTTGCCCTCAGTCAATTTTGTGAAATACTCTGCGTTTGCATTTTGACCCTCATGCAGGCTTTCATCCTCCACAGCTGCTGTATTTGGCCAGTGTGGTCTCTTCTCAACTGGGCCACTAGCTCTCACCTCTGACCCTCTGACCCCAAACTATACCTGTCCTATTTCTCCCTTTCCATCCCCACAGTCATGATCTCAGATGTCTCCTCTGATGTGTTCTTGTGACTTTGAGTTACCAAGAGCCAGGGGAGCTCCCCTGGGCTGCACTCCTGGACAGAGGACAGGGTCCCTGTGGGTGTCTCAGGATGTGTCAGTTGTCTGTGACCCCTCACCTTCCGCAGCAGTGAGCAGCTGTCAGAACAAAGTCCTTTCGCAGGAGGACACCGCCACACCTCATCTTTCTCTCATTAACCACAAACTGAACCAACGCCATGTAGGGGCGGGAGTGTGGCTTGGCCTCGTGTCCCCCGATGATGTCCTCTGAAAGAAAAGATTGGAAGATGGGCTTTCTGGGAGCACCTGTGGTCAGAGGGAAGGTTTAGGAAGGTGGAGATTGAGGGTGGGGTCTACAGTGCCCTGGAGACTCCGGAAGAGAGAGCTCCCGGGTTCTGCTTGCAGCAGAATCCTTTTCTGAACATGGAGCCTTAGAACCCCTGTGAGAAAAGGGGGACAGTGCTTGTTCTCCACGTCCTACTTCAGACAATGTATGGAGGAGGTAAGATCTCTTCTCATGATAGTAGAGCCCCAAGGGGTCCTGGACGGGGCTCCCCTGACGTCTTCTGTCTCAGTGACTCTCCCGACCCTTCTGAGCCTCTGTTAAAGTCTTGAGTAGTGCCTTCATCTAATAATCTGTCTGTGAGCCTATGGAGTTGGATTTTCTAAAATCGTCACGTCCTAGTGTGTAACCCATCCTAGGATCTCAGTAACCATTTTTGGCTGCGTGAATGAATGGCCTTCACTCATTTCTAGGCAGAAGTTTCGTGTGGATAGTGCTGGTGGGATTCAAAGACACAGGGATGGGAAGAGGGCATGGTGTGGAGCAGCCAAGGGCCTGGGAAGGCAGGGGGAGGTGGGGCTGAAAATGGGCTGCTCAGGCCTGCTGCAGAGCCAAGGCCACAAGGGAGCCCTGGGTGCAGTCATCCAGCCCCTTCTGAGATCAACTGCACCCTGGGCTCCTCTCCTGGGCAAGAGTGAGGGGGTGAAGCGCACTGAGAAGTGTAACTGGTTCTTAAACTGGCTCCTGGGATAACTCACACTACTGTTACCAGTTCATCTGAGCTGCCCTTTCCTGGGTTGGAGTGAGCAATTTTAGTTACTCATCTTTTGTAGCTTCACATCCTCTGCCAAATGTCCTTCTATGAGCAGCCAACTTTCCAGATTTTAACAGAGGCTAACACCTACTAAACCTTTTAATGAACACCCTTCCTTCTGGCCATCCTTATTGAGCATCTATGCAGGTTTAGACTTGCTAGTCTGGGTTAGGGATGGGAGCTGGGTTTTAGAAAATTCTTGGGCTCAAATTGAGGAAATTCGCTGACTCTGCAGGGCAGAATGGTCAGGAGTACAGAGGGTTTTGTGAGATGGGCTGAAGCCTCTGGAGTGGGGATGGTCACTCACCTGTCCCAGCCTCGGGGGGCAGAAGAAAGGCCAATAAGAGCAGGAGTGGCCACATCTTCCCTGAAGGTCTGCCCAGGTCAGAGCTGCTAGTGTTTCTTCCTTCGAGACACACGGCCTCTGAGGAGAAGGCAAGAGGGGTGGCTCAGCACCTCAGAGACCTCCTAGACCTGTGCTCCTCTGGGTTTCCTGTGCCATCACGCAAGGTGGTTTGTCGAAGTTCTCTAGCTTGGGGTAGGTGACAGTAGCACTGTCACCACACTTGCCCTCCCACTGCTGAGTCCCAAGGCGAAAGCAAGAAGAAAAAACAAGAAAGTGAAGCCTGTGGTGCAGCCAGCAGGGGAGCTGGAACCCAGAAGAATTACGAATCAAGAATGTCTCCAGTTCCCAGCTCTTGGCTCTTTTTCCATCCTGGTGAATTCATGAATAATTATTTAGCAAGCTAGGTCCAGGGAGATGATCAGCATGGCTCCTGCCCATGAGAAGCTGCGGTTGTCTGGAGTAGTCTGAGAATCTGTGGTTAGAGTACAGGGTCACAAGGGCTGTGGTAGGGATTCTGCTTGGTGGTGGCTGATAGAGGCTGGCCCTGCCTTAGGGGAATGTAGAGCTGGACACACCCGAACACCCCAAATGGTATCCCCACATCCTATCTGACCACCAGTCCAGTCTTGTATTTTTGGAATATTTAGAACCCCTTCTTTAAACGTAAGTATTCTGCAACAAAAAGAACTTGTATTTTCCCACCATTTTGAACAAAGTCCTGGACTTGATATTCATTGGACCAAAACTAATCATCATTGGTTCCATCAGAATTGAGTGGCCTGATTGGTTTATGCTTGGGTCATTTAGCACCCCTGGACCTGACGTGGGAACTTTTCCACTCAAATCATTGTGCCTGTTTTCTGGAGAGGGCATTCCCCTCGAGAAATGCTCCTTATTGTTGCCAGGTGATGGGGAAATGGATGCTGATCATCCCAATAATTACCATCCACTAAGTATTCTCCTCCAGGGTCCAGTGAAGCACGCCTCTGATGTCCCTGGGCTTAACAGTCATAAACGTTTGCAAACAGATTATCCCAACACTCTCACCAGTATGACGACAGATGAAGGAGTAGTGGAAAGGAAGGCATTATGAGTTCTAAACAGCCCGATCCCAATTCCGTTAAAACAATAGCATCTTATGAGTACTTAGCAAAAGAGAGGAGGACAACATGCTTAAGCATTAATGATGATGATCTCTGGGTGGTGGAATTCTCAGGAATTTTAATGTTCTTATTGATATGTTCTGCCTTTAACTGTCTTTCTATGATGAATATGTATTACTTTTCTACCCAACATACATTTTCCCATAGTTGAAACACGCTCATCAATGGCAACCATTCAGCAGACACTTTCTTTCCAGTCTAGCCTTCTCTAAGGTGGATGTTTGAAAAATGAGGTTTAGTTTTCTGAATCCATTCTTATATACAAGATTTAGAGATTGTTGAAAAATAGAAGAACAATTTACTCAATAAGCTACAGTATATGAGCTCTTTGCATGAATAAAGAACAAATTAATGATTTTGACTCTAGAGATGGAAATTTATTAAGGCCCTAACAGCACCCCCTCCACCCTCCTCTGCCCAGTGCATTTCTGGCCTCTGCCCCAGAAAAGATGGACAGATCAGTCTTGGCGGTGCCTCAGTCTGGTCCTTGCACCTGAAGTATTATGCTTTTTGTCAAAGGCAGAGAGCTCGAGACCCTGGTGAACACACGTGGATGTTTCCCGTTGTTTTTTCCAAAGGAGACAATGCCCTGGGACATGTTGTTGCACAAGAAGGGGCCCCCAGAGTCCTCCTGTGGACAGAGGGACTGAGCTGGGCCTTCTCCTTGTTCTCCTCTCCCCGCTGCCCTGGGGTTGAGTGGTCTCTGTTAGGGGCTGTGGGTAAGATCTGCGCTAGGACAGGCTTTGTGGCCTTCCTCTGTCCTGGGCCTCCAGCCTGGCCCTGATAGTTCCCTTCCTCTCCTTCCCCAGGAAGACTCTGCCAATAAGTGGCTGTGGGACAGTCTCCCATCCCCCCAGGGAGACAGGACTAGAGACCAGGTTGGTGACAAGGCTGAGTACATAGGGATATAGCTAGTCCCCACTGCCCCGGATCTCCTCAAAGCTTGGCTGTACCCAGGGCTGGGCATGGACAGTGTTGGGGATCTCACCTTAAAAGACGTCCTGCTCTTTTTTGGGTCCCTCACACATTTCTGGGTGTTGGTGTTGTAACGGTCTTGGTAGCGAGAGACGTATTGCTCGTCCCTGTGGGCTTCAAGCTCAGCCTCCTGCAGTTTCACGGCTGAGGCAGTGTTCCCACCGAGGCACCCCCAGCGGCCACCCTGCACAGCATCCTGGGCAGCCTGAGGGGCTCACAGAGGCAGTGAGGTTGGCCTTCCTCTTCAAGCTGAAGGCAGAGGAAAGGAATTCACCAAGTCTCCAGGGACAGTCGTGGGGTTGCCTTCCCCACAGCCCTGAGACAGGTGAAGGGGTCATACTGGGAAGGAGGGACAGGGATGAGGTTTGGGGGGGTGGAAAAACCTTGGATTAAATTGTGCAAGAACCAGGGGAGCAAAGTGCGCTACCTTTAGTCACACAGTGTGGTTGGAGGAATTCTTAGGATTGTAGTCTGGGTCAGGAGTGGCTTTTCTCACAGGGGTGACCTGCTGGGTCCTCCCCTGCCCCTGGACGTTGTGGGCCCCCAGGGTGAAGTGGATTGAGCTGCACAGAGAGCAGAGAGGGAGGTGGAGTCACAGGAGCTCCAGCCCAGGACCCGTGAAGGAAGGAGGACAGCTTGGGACAGGGCAGGACTGGAGTGGAGAGGAGTGACAGGGATGGGGCCCTCTGGCTGAGCATCTCTGAGTCCTCTGCTTCTTGGCAGCCCAGCCTGGATGGCAGTTTCTGGAGCAGACTCGGGGTGTTCGGTCATGCTCAGAGCTTGACTGTCTCTGGGCAGGACTGTGAATTTGTCACCTGTGCACTCTGGGCTTTGGAGCATGACCTCAGCCTCCTTCCGATGCCACCTCTGATCGGCTCCTCTCTTCAACAGGCCCCAGGCACTGACCTGTCCCCCTCTCTCCCCGAAGCTTCCCTGTCCTCTGAAGAGCTCTTCCGTGTCGCTAGGTGGCCCAGGTCTGCAGCCCCGAGAGGAGGGTTCTCTGTGAGGTGTCGACAGAGGGTGGGGCCACGCGCTGCTCCTCTCCTTCCCCAGCAGTGAGCTGCTGTCAGAACAACGTCCTCACGCACAAGGGAACCCCCACAGCTTTTTTTGTCTCTGGAGTCTGGATCCGAAGAAATGCCAGACAGGGACAAGAATGAGGATTGACCTCATGGCCCCGGGGATTTTCCCTGAAAGAAGATTCTACCTGCCTGCTGTTCGCATGGAGCCAAAGGCTGGACTGGGGCACAGGACAGAGGAGAACAGGGCGGAGAGGAGCTCGGGTGGTGGATAGTGGGCTCTGTTGTAGCCAGCAGCCACCAAGAAGGGGTCCTGCGTGTTCCTGGGCAGCAATCCTGGCTTGCCTGGTGATCCCCAGACTCAGGTTCTCCATCTGACATGAGAAGAGCAGGCCTTGTTCTCAGTTCCTGCTTCAGACGCATGTGCTGGCAGACAGGATTTGTGTTTGGAATAAGCAGTGACAGCCCTGGCGTCATCTGGGTCTGATCTCCCCTTGTGTCTCCAGACCTCCCTGGGCTGCTGCTGCTCTGTAACATCCAGAACATGAGCTCCAGGTGCCAGGTTGTGTTAGGTCTTTCTGTGCTGGAGCCTGACACGTGGTAGGTGCCCACTAAGTGTCCTGGCAGCTCGAAGGAATGGTCCCAGTCAGCCTCTGGATGAGGGTAGGTTGGGGTAGAGCTGGTAGGGTTCTGAGCAGTGGGGAAGATGGGGCCTGCCAAAACTGGTGTGCCCATTGACTGAAGAACTACCAGAGAGAACTTGAGACTGAACCAGCCAAACATAAGTGTTAAGGGAACTGGGATGCCACCAAACTGGGACCAACTGGATCCTTAGCTTCCTTCCTGGGCAGCATGGGAATGACAAAACTTGGGGAAGGGAGTTTAATTGAGGTTAGATTTTAGGACATTGAGTTAGAAAGCTAGTGGGCCTTACTTTGATTACAGAAGCCAGCCCCTTTCTCCAAGCTGCCCTTTCCTGGGGCAATTAATGATTTCTTGTTCCCAGCTTCCAACTGTCTTCCAGAAGCCTTTGTAATAGATCCCACTTTCCAGATGACACGGGTAGGGCCTGGGGAGGAACAGCACCCACTGGCCCTCATGGAGAACAGCTTTCTGCCCTGCTGTTCTTACTGAGTTTTTATCCAGCATCAGATTTGCTGGTCTTTCAGGGAGGTTGGACCTGGAGTTTAGCAAGTTCCTGGGGATGGGTCAACACCAGGATGTGTCTGAGTGTAGCATCTGGGCAGAGCTGTAACAGTGTGGGATGAGGCTGGGCCTCTGTTGAGGGGACAGTCACTCACCTGCTTCGCCCCTGGGGGACAGAAGAAAGGCCACCAGGAGCAGCAGCGGCTACAACTCCCCAGGAAAGCTGCCCAGGTCAGAGCTGCCGGTGCTTCCTCTTTGTCTTCTCACTCTAAGTGTGACCTTTATCACATAAGGCTCTCTCTGAATGCCTCACCCGCTGTCTGATCGAGTCCTCGGGCCTGAGGGGACAAGAACTTACCAGTCTCCACATAAGCACTCGTAGCTCTTGTCTCTGTGTTGACCACACCCACAGAAAACAGGAGCTGCTGGCTACAGGTGGGCGTTGGAGATGTTGGTCAGCCAGTAGTGGGTCCCTGAGCCCCAGCACTCTGAGTCTTATGATGATGGATCCAAGAACATCCTCCTTTCCTTGGCTCACTTTGGACCATCAGGATGATCATTTATTGGGGCCCCCTTCTGTGTGAGACTTGGGGGTGTTGAGATGAAGGTCCTCACTTCTTGTAGAGGAGACAAAACCATCAGTGATCAGACAAGTGTGATGAGGGCCCTGGTCAGATGGATGGACAGAATGGTGTGGGAGTAATGCTGAAGAGGGCTTGTTCCAGTTACTAAAGAGCCGAGTGGTTCAAAAAATAATGACATTGGTTTTGCCCACAAATCTGCATTTTGGTCCAGGTTTAGTGTGGAGAGCTCCCTGCTGATCCCTTTGGTGTCAGGGGAGGCTTGATGCCTGGAGGCCATGATCA